CCCAATTTATATACCATTTTCACTTGATTTTTTTTCATAATGTTGTTTATAAATATTTTTTGCACACAAAAAAGTCAATTGGCCCAATTCAGTTACACTTTAAGTGTATGCAGACTTAGTGATACAACCACCTGTGATTGCCTTTATTCTACATGTGGGTCTAATATATAGTCAGAATGGGGGTTCAAATTTATAATAAACTGATGGTTACACTAGATATCACCTTGGACATGTACAAAAGGTGAAAAACAAAAAAAAGTAGCAACATGTATCTTTTCTGGTTTACAGATAGGTCTGAAGGAAGCCATTTAGTATTACCTGGAGTCTGCAGACTGGCAACTTTGTTAGCTTTCAAAGCAGAGTGACGAATGGTAGGTTGAGTTCGTTGCAAAGGGGCATCACTTGCATTGGCTATTACAGGTTGTGGAAGCCTTTGTAAATCCTGCTTGAAGTGAACACTCTTAGTTGGAGACTGCTGATCACTTGATTGCTGTTCAGGATTTGACACCAGCAATACATCAGTTAGTTGATCATCCGTCTTTGTTACTGATTCAGTTTCTGTGCCTGCTGACTGATCTATGGCTTCGTACGTGCTTTTTCCCTGATCTTTTACTGGTGATAGTCCCGACTGAGCTAAAGAAACTGACACCGGTGATTCAGTGCGTTTTGATTGTGGTGTTGGTTCATGCACTGACCGATTTCTAAGTCTCTTTGTTGTTAGCAACTCAGACTGATCTGACACAACGGGCACAGGTGATTCAGTGCGTTTTGATTGTGGTGTTGGTTTACGCACTGACCGGTTTCTAAGGCTCTTTGGTGTTGGTAATTCAGACTGATCTGACACAACAGGCACAGGTGATTCAGTGCGTTTTGATGGTGGTGTTGGTTCACGCACTGACCGATTTCTAAGTCTCTTTGGTGTTGGCAACTCAGACTGATCTGACACAACAGGCACAGGTGATTCATTGCGTTTTGATTGTGGTGTTGGTTCACGCACTGACCGGTTTCTAAGACTCTTTGTTGTTGACAGCTCAGACTGATCTGGAACGATTACTGCTGGAGATTTCGTACGACTCGATTGCGGTGATGATTTGTGTGCTGATCCCTTTTTAGCACTTCTTGGTGTTGACAGCCCAGATCGACCTGAAGCAACTGACGATGCTGGAGAATCAATACGATGGGATTGTGGTGATGGTTTGCGCCCAGACAGACTTCTAACTCTCTCTGGTAATGACGACACTAATTTAGACTGATTTAAAGAAACGTGTGCTGGCAAAGAAACACGTCTTGTTTCAGGTGTTGGCAGTGACTCGCTTGCTTCTAATTCAGACTTGTGGATTGAAACAGATGCTGGTAGTGAAACACGTCTTGACTGTGGCGTTAAATTTCCCTGTAAAGTAAAAACAGTTACATTACTTAACTACTGGACACCAAAGACAATAAACTTTATCTTTCACAAAATCTTGTACTTTGAAAATTTGCTGCTATTAGCTCAATATTGGTTTGTCAGTCAACGTATTTCCTCTTTTAGCAATGCATACGATTACGTAAATATCAGGAGTATGTCTACGGTCAAAATAACTTTTATTTAATTATTCAGTAATAGAGATATTTTAATACCAGTATTGGGGTTATTCACAAGAAAATTATTGTGAGGTTAGCAGAATTTAATCATCACACCCCATCTCATGTGCAAAGTGAATAAAATATAGCACTAGCAAAAAAA